GACCACAGGTGTGTGCCATCACACCCGGCTAATTTTTTTTTCTTTTTTTTTTTTTTGAGATAGAGTCTTGCTCTGTTGCCCAAGCTGGAGTGCAGTGGTATGATCTCGGCTCACTGCAACCTCCGCCTCCTGGGTTCAAGCGATTCTCCTGCCTCAGCCTCCCGAGTAGCTGGGATTACAGGCACGCACCAACCACCACACCTGGCTAATTTTTGTATTTTTAGTAGAGACAGGGTTTCACTATGTTGGTCGGGCTGGTCTCGAACTCCTGACCTTAGGTGATCCGCCCACTTTGGCCTCCCAAAGTGCTGGGATTACAGGCGTGAGCCACCATGCCTGGCCACTTTTTGTATTTACTTTAGAGACGGGGTTTCGCCATGTTGGCCAGGCTGGTCTCAAACTCCTGGCCTCAAGTGATCTGCCTGCCTTGGCCTCCCAAAGTGCTGGGATTAAAGGCATAAGCCACCGCGCTCGGCCCCTCCACAATTTCATTTTGCACTGGACTCTCTGCAAATGATGTAGCTGGTCCTGACTAGGGCTGTTGGCCACAATATTTACACGTGGCCTTTCCATGTGACCTAGGCTTCCTCACAGCCTGATGGCTAGGCTCCAGGGATGAGGGTTTCAAGAGAGAGATCCAAGCAGCAGTGGCATCACCTTTCAATGACCTAACGTAACTCCTCCTTTGCATGAGGACTGACAAGGTCACATTGTAAGAAGAGCACATGGGATAGGAGATGACACAGTCACATTTGAAAATGCAATTTGCCACGTCAGGTCATGAGCAGGTCACCTCCTGGTCCATCTGCAGAAGGGGCCCAGGGGATTCAGTTCTGCCTTCTAGGAAGGCCGGTGTTGGGATCTTAGAGCCCTGCTGGGAAAAAGGCCAGGGGAGAGTTGGGAACTTGGTCTTCGCAAGCACTCCCAGCTTCCCCTCTCCAGGGTCACTTACCAAGTGCTCAGAGGAATTGGAACCAAGAGCAGTGGGGCAGGAGCGTGACCAGGAGCCCTAAAGTCGGCTCCCCTGGAGGGCTGAAATCTCCGAGAAAGGCAAGGACTCAGCGCCCAGACGTACGTTTCTCCTGCTGGCATCTCTGCTTGGCTAACATTCCTCCTCTTTCATTTCTCCCCGGGGCATGTTGTTGTCTTTCTCATTAACTTCCCCTCAACTCCCAGCAAGGTCCCTGGACTGTGAGCTTTGCTAATTCCCTGTAATCCACTGGCAAAGCAGGAAGCTAATTAAATTGTGAGCTGTGTGCTCACTCTGTCAGGCTCTGAATCTCTCTTCTCAGTGCCTCTCCCATCTGTCTCTTCCCTTCTCATTGCCCCTGGATAGTTTACTTTCATCTGGACACGTTCAGTATTTTCTCACCCATCTGCCTGCCTCTCCCCTCGTCGTCTTTCTCCTGCCTTTCAATCTGCAGAGTAATCTTCTTAAAATACAGCTTTGAGCACACCTTCTTCTCCTCTACTGTAAGGTAAAAGCTCGTTAGCTCAGCAGTTAAGCCCCACACTCCTTACCTGCCATAACTTCCCATCACAAACCCTTCTCCACAACCAAGCCTGGTACATTTCCTTCCCTAAGCTCCACCTATGCCACCTCCTCACCTTGGCTCACATTCTTATCTTTGACTGGATTCCACCCCCTCACTCCTCCATCTCCACTCCAACTCACCCTGTCAAAATCCTCACCATTATTTAGAAAGAGCCTCTTCGGGCCGGGCACGGTGGCTCACGCCTGTAATCCCAGCACTTTGGGAGGCCAAGGCAGGCGGATCACGAGGTCAGGAGATCGAGACCATCCTGGCCAACATAGTGAAACCCTGTCTCTACCAAAAATACAAAAAAATTAGCTGGGTGTGGTGGTGCACACCTGTAGTCCCAGCTACTCAGGAGGCTGAGGCAGGAGAATCACTTGAACCCAGGAGGCAGAGGTGGCAGTGAGCTGAGATCACGCGACTGCACTCCAGCCTGGACGACAGAGTAAGACTCTTGTTCCCCCCTCCCAAAAAAAAAAAAAAAAATGCTGAGAGAGAATCAGAGAAAGGGAGGCTGCAGAGTATAGTGGTTAAGGACTGGGTTTGGGAGCCAGATAGACCTGGGTTTAAATCCTACTCCTGCATTAACTTTTCTGATCCAGAAGGGACGCATGGCCCTAAGAAGGGTTGTGGCTGCCCTAGGTTGGCTTCCAGCCTTCCCCAGCTCTCCTGCGACATCCCTGTGTGGCTTATTCCACCCTTACCGTGCCTCCTGTCCTCCCCATAGTCCTGTGGCCCAAGCTTTTCAAGCTGGTGAAGGAGAGAGTTGTGATCCCAAGAAGGAGGGTGAGCGAGCGGGAAAATGAGACAAAGAGAGGAAACAGAATAAAGCGCACAGATACCAGCGGCTTTTCACCATGGAGAACTGAACTCGGCTGGAGTCTCTCTGAGTCTGAAACATGACCTGGAATTGGGATGTGGAATGCTCCCACGGAGGGACCAGAAAGCTGGGGTATTTACCCCTAACTCTGGACAACTGGCTGGGGTTGCTCGGGGGGTATTAACTCCACAGCCCTTTGGGCCTGCCCCACACTCACTCCCATAGCTGAAAATGCCCTCAGGAGGGACACAGGAAGCAGGGGCCTGGTCAGGAACTGTCTGTGGGTGACCTCCTGGTAGGCCTGGAGGTGTGGGTGGGGCATTGACAGCATCTACTACACTCAGGGAAAGGAACCTGCTATTAAAATTATTGTTGTCGGCCAGGTGCGGTGGCTCACGCCTGTAATCCCAGCATTTTGGGAGGCTAAGGCAGGTGGATTACTTGAAGTCAGGAGTTCAAGACCAGCCTGGCCAACCCGTCTCTACTAAAAATACAAAAATGTAGTGGCACATGCCTGTAATCCCAGCTACTCAGGAAGCTGAGGCAGGAGAATTGCTTGAACCCAGGAGGCGGAGGTTGCAGTGAGCCGAGATCGCACCATTGCACTCCAGCCTGGGTAACGAGCGAAATTCCATCTCAAAAAATAAAAACAAAAATATATAAAAATTATTGTTGTCTATTAGCTGCCACGTGGCGGCAGGCTGAGGGGGGAGGATCACTTGAACCCAGGCTGCAGTGAGCCAAGATCGTGCCACTGCACTCCAGCCTGGGTGACAGAGTAAGAACCTATCTCAGCCGGGCACGCCTGAAATCCCAGCATTTTGGGAGGCCGAGGCAGGCAGATCACCCGAGGTCGGGAGTTTGAGAACAGCCTGACCAACACAGAGAAACTCCCATCTCTACTAAAAATACAAAATTAGCTGGGTGTGGTGGCACACGCCTGTAATCCCAGCTGCTCATGAAGCTGAGGCAGGAGAATCACTTGAACCCGGGAGGGGGGGTTGCAGTGAGCCAAGATCGCTCCATTGCACTCCAGCCTGGGCAACAAGAGCGAAACTCCATCTCAAGAAAAAAAAAAAAAAGCCCATCTAAATTTATATATATTTGAATGTTAATTTTTTTAACTTTATTATTTTTTTAAAGTGATGGGGTCAGCTGGGCGTGGTGGCTCACACCTACAATCCCAGCACTTTGGGAGGCCAAGGCAGGCAGATCACGAGGTCAGTAGTTCAAGACTAGCCTGACCAACATGGTGAAACCCCATGTCTACTAAAAATACAAAATATTAGCCAGGTGTGCTGGCGCACCCCTGTAATCCCAGCTACTCAGGAGGCTGAGGCAGGAGAATCGCTTGAACCCGGGAGGTGGAGGTTGCAGTGAGCTGAGATCGCAGCATTGCACTCCAGCCTGGGCAACAGAGCAAGAGTCTGTCTCAAAAAAAAAAAGAGAAAGAGATGGGGTCTCACTCTGTTGCCCAAGCTGGTCTCAAACTTCGGAGCTCAAGGGATCTTCCCACCTTGGCCTCCCAAAGTGCTAATATTACAGGCGTGAGCCACCATGCCCAGCCATACCCATCTCAATTTAAAAATAAATAAAATAATTGTTGTTTAAGACCAGCCTGGGCAATGGAGTGAGACCTCGTCTCTACAAAAAAATTTTTAAAAAATTAGCCAGGCATGGTGGCCTGCACCTGTAGTCCCAGCTACCTGGGAGGCTGAGGTGGGAGAGTCACTTGAGCCCGCAAGGTCAAAGCTGCAGTGAGCCAAGATCATACCACTGCACTCCAGCCCAGGTGACACATCAAGACCTTGTCTCAAAAATAAATAAAATTGTGGCTGCAAAACAAGAGAGGAGGGAGCAGGAACTATAACCAGCCTAGGGCTTTTCTCTGGATCCTGCTGCCACCTCTTCTTAATTCCCATTCTGGAGCCCAACCATCTGCCTTACACCTACCAGCTCATGGCATCATCTTTCTCTATATCCCTTTCCCAGTGGATTCCTCCCTATCCCAGTCACCTGATGCAAATCCTGATGTCATCTGCCCCAGCCACCTATCTCTACCTCAACCCTGACTTCTCTGGTTAGAACTCTTGTGAATCCAGGGAGTGTCAAATCCCAGCCTGAACTGAACCTCAACTGGGATTATACTATCCTATAACATACCTTCTCCCCTCTCCTCCCCTCCCACCATTGGAATCACGCCCTCAGGAGAACAGCCCCACTCTTCTGGTCCAGAAGGGGCCCATGGCCCTAAGAAGGACCACAGGTTGGCTTTTGGCCTCCCCTAGCTCTCCTTTGACATTCCCCAGCTCTCCTTCGACATTCCCCAGCTCTCCTTCGACATCCCTGTGCGGCTCATCCCACCCTTACCCTGCCTCTTGTCCTCCGCACAGTCCTGTGGCCAAAGCTTTTCAAGCTGGTGAAGGAGACAGTTGTGATCTGACAAGGGCTAGACGGGTGCTTCACCCTCTGTCAACAAATACCCTCATTATTCAGCCTGAAACACCTCCATTCATTCCTTTCTATTCAGGCACATATTTGTTAATTCATTCCATCATTCACCTAACACACTTGAAGCGGAGCCAATCACCTCTACCAACATCTTCCTAGAGACAAATAAATTAACTGGGGTTGGGTAACTTTGAGAGCTCCAAAAGGAAAGCTCCAGAGGACGGGGGGTCCACAGGGGTTCAGGCCTCTCAGGGACCACAGAGCAGACCTGCGGCAGAGGCAGGATTAGAGCCTATGGCTCCGGAGTCAACCAGGGCCAGGCAGAGGGCACCAGCTCTTGGCTGCTGAGAGTAGAGCTCTTTGAAAGTCATCCACTCAGTCAACATCTACTGAGTGCCAGGCAGTGTCATCATCTCTACAGTCATCATGGGAGAGAACAGCAGCCTAGAGAAAGGGAGTCTGAGCCCCCCACCCCGTGGGCTCGAAGTCCACAGTAGAGGCCAGCACTAGTGCCTCTGGTGAGTGTTACCGTGGGAAGACCGCTGTTCCCAGCCCGGGTGCCCTGCTGGACTCCTGCTAGCCTGGCCCCAGCGAGGCAGGGTGTCAGTTTCCCTCTCCAGAGGCCTTTCTTGCCCACCTATTGCCCTTCTCAACCCTGTTCCTTCTTGCAGGAGCAACCTTTCCAGCAGAAAATTCCATTCTGCCCCAAGGACTCTTCTCCTTACTGCCCCTCTCCCAGGGGGACGCAGACTGCCTTCTCCCTGTTTCCTAATGGATGGTGGGCATCTTCCGATTTGGAGGTGAGGAGGAAAAACTAGGTTATTTTCAGCTCTTCCTTTACTGGCAGCATTGACCCATTTATCCTTCTTTTCCTTCAGACCCCTCCCCCAAGGCCACTCAGCTTGGACATCTGTCCCAGCCAAAATCTCACCTTCCACTGTCCTTACAGCCCAAAGGCTAGTCCAGTCTCTGAGTCCAGCTCTAGCCCTCTCACCCCACACCAGGAAGGAAGCTGGACTGCAGAGCACTCTGGGCCACCCCGCGTTGGCCGCTGCCTCTGGCCTCAGTTTCCCCAACTGCTCAGATTAATGATGCCTGCTGTCTAGACCCAGAGGACGAAGCTCTAAGGAGGTCACAGATGAGGAAGGGTCCAGTGCTCGGCGCAGGCTCCGTGCGGAGCCCCTAGGCCCCGCAGCTCGCCCCTCCCTCTCCCCCTACTCTCCTCCTCTCCCCCTCCCGCCTCTCCTCCGCCTCTCCTCCCGCCTCTCCGCTCGCTCGGCTCCCTCTCTGGCTGACCTTCCCTTTCCCTCACGCCTCCCCACGCCCGGCCCGGGGCCCCAGCACCCTGTCCGCCGCCGCCTCAGAGCCGGGAGAAGCAGCCGGAGCCCCCGCCGCTCCCGCCGCAGCGCGGGCGGTCAGTGCGCAGCCCGGCGCCCGCAGCCCGCAGCCCGCAGCCCGCAGCCGGATCGCGGGCTCGGACCGAACCCGACCCGACCGCCGCCCCCAGCCAGGTGAGGTCAGCTCAGGAAAGGCGGGGAGCCGAGGTTTCCCCTTTACTGGAAACGGGGGCTGGGGAGGCGCGGGGAAATTGGGTCCTTTTTCCTTGAAAGGAGGACCTGGGAGCCTTTTCGTGAAACAGGCACAAGGGCTTTCATTCCGAAGGGATGGATGGATGGATGGATGGAGGGAAGGTCTCGGGGGAGAGGGATTAGGATACCCCTTTCTGGTTTTTGTTTTTTAAAAATAAGGATTAATTGGCTTCTGTGAAAGTGGGACTTCTTGGAAGGATGAGGGGCTTTCAAGGTAGGTTGGGGAGGGGGCTCTGGCAGGGCTTGAGGGAAGGGTTAACTGGTGAGTGGCGGGGCAAGGGGGAGCTCTGCAAGCCCCTCAGCCTGCACCTCCCGCCTTGGCTCCGGGGCTCTGGGTCTGCCCAGTTCTGTGTTCCAGTTTTTCTCTTTGAAGATGACTATTTTGAGCCCCACCTGGACAGAGCCAGGAACAGCCATTTCCTTCCCTGGAGCTATGACACCCACCTGACACGCCCTCCCACACCTCTGACCTGCTCAGGGAAGGGGGTTCAGGGAAGGATGAGGACCCAGGGATCTGGGAATTGGACAGTGTGGGTGAAATGGAGGCTGGGTACTGGGCACACAGGAAGACCCTTGGCACTGGTGGGGTGCACCAACCTTGGTCGGGAGGTTGCTGGGCAGCTTCTTCTGGGGCATGACCCACTAGGAAAGCAGCCGTGTCAGGAAAAGCTGAGCTGTTCCCCATGCTCCCAGAAGACAAAACACTAGAGAATGTGTTTGCTTGCTTTCGTTTGGTTTTGCTTTCTTTCTGTCTTCCTCATCCTGGATCCCAAGACTCATTCCCCTGATCTCTCCTAGTTTTGCAAAAAGGTAAACTGAGGCAGAGGACAACTTGGCTGGACATACCTGTGTCTAGGAGGGAAGAGTGACAGAGAGGAAGGCATACAGAATTTGAGTAAAAAAATCTCAGTGTTCCATGGGTGACCTTGGGCCAAAATGCTTTCCCTTGTTGGGCCTTAGCTTTCTCATCTATAAAATGGGAGAGGGCCCACCTGTCTTGCAGGTTTGCCGAGACCATGTGCCTAAAAGAAATTTGTAAAAGGGAATGTACTGGACACTTGTGAGGTGCCATCTTCACCACCGTGGATGGCCCCTTCCCTCCTCCCTATCCTAACCAAGGGTATCACTAACCCATAGGACACCTTTGTGAGAATTAGAAAAGGCACCTCCTCTGGAAGCAGACAGCATTCAGTTGGGCTAGCAACTTGGGGTCTTTATTATGAGAATGAGAAGGTGGCATACTTTATCCCAGGTGCTGCTCTAACATGTGGAGTGTGAGCTAGATTCTAGCTAGGATGTTCTGCACATCCACACGTGGCAACCCCTTTCAGCAGGGCCCTGACACAGAGCTACACATACTTACAGGGTACTTTCTAAAGCAGCCCACATCCCAGGCTGTCTCCAGCTCATTTCTTTCCTGTTTTGTTTCCACATCAGGGCCTTTGGGTATTCAAGTCCCAAAGTGCATGCCCTACTAGGAAGCAGGATGGAATCCTTACATCAGACAGTGACTCCTTTGAGTCAAGCAGTGCCTTCACCAAGCTCCCAGGGGTAGGAGTGACTGAGTCCCTAAACCCTTACATCAAGAACTGGACCAGATCACTTTTGTCAGGGCAACCAACAGAAGCATCTGCACCCCTCAGCACTGCCATTGACAAACCATGTTCACACCTATCTCAGAGCACCCCCACAGCAAGCCTGTGTGTGAGGTCTCCTCCCCATTTACATGGAGGAAGCCATGCCCAGAGAAGTTAGGGTACCTGCCCAGGGTTTCACAGTGTGAGTGGTAGAGCCAGGACCTGAACCCAGATCTGGCTGGCTGTCCTCTCCAATCCATCACTCCCAAGGAACAAAGCTGCTGACTTCACAGCCTTGCTAAAGCCCTGCTGGAATTGTTGCTCTCCCTGTCCATCCCTGGTAGCCCCTGGCTCACCACTCCTTCCCCTAAGTAACCAGCCTCCAAGCAAAGAGAAAGGAGTCACCTTCTTTTTACTCTGATTTCACGGGGGAGGAAGCTACCTCAAAGCCCAACTGTTCTCGCCTCCTCTGTGCAGGAAGGGCCCCTGGTGAGGCCAGGAAAGGGGTCAGGGAGCAGCGATTTCCTTTCCTGCTCAGATGGGTCTTAAACAGTAATGGTCATGCAGAGCATTGACACAGAAAGCCAGTGCCTGCGTGAGTAGCAGACCAAGGACCATAAAATAACCACAGGAAAATGCAGCCAACTGGAACTGAGGGGAACTCAAGAGACCCCCCTGAATCCCCCGGGTTACCAGGGCCCCTGGGTGTCAAACAGGAGGTGTAGGGGCGAGCCAAGCAGACAGGGCTGTAGGCTTCTTCAACCAGAGCGTTTCTGCTGGTCTGTGTGCAAGCTTTCATTTAAGAAAGGGGTTTCGTCCGGGTGCGGTGGCTCACGCCCGTAATCCCAACACTTTGGGAGGCTGAGGCAGGCGGATCACAAAGTCAAGAGATTGAGATCATCCTGGCCAACATGGTGAAACCCCGTCTCTCCTAAAAATACAAAAATTAGCTGGGCGTGGTGGTGCATGCCTGTAGTCCCAGCTACTTTGGGAGGCTGAGCCAGGAGAATCGCTTGAACCCGTGAGGCGGAGGTTGCAGTGAGCCGAGATCGAGCCACTGCACTCCAGCCTGGCAACAGAGCCAGACTCTGTCTCAGAAAAAAAAGGGGGGGGAGGGGTGGTTTCAAGGCCTAGCATGATGGCTCACGCCTGTAATCCCAGCACTTTGGGAGGCTGAGGCAGGTGGATCACTTGAGGTCAGTTCAAGACCAGCCTGGCCAACGTGGTGAAACCCCATCTCTACTAAAGATACAAAAAATTAGCTGGGCATGATGGTATCTGTAATCTTAGCTACTCAGGAGGCTAAGGCAGGAAAATTGCTTGAACCTGGGAGGCGGAGGTTGCAGCAAGCTGAGATCAGGCAATTGCACTTCCAGCCTTGGTGACAGGGCGAGACTCTGTCTCAAAAAAAAAAAAAAGGCGGGGGGAGGTTTCAGTGTGTGGGTATGCACACACACACAGAGGTTTGGAGACTCCTAGCTTAATCCAGTAGTTCTCAGCATGTGGTCCTTGGATCAGCAGCATCAGCATCATCCAGAAACATATTAGAAATACAAATTCTTAGCCAGGCATGGTGGCTCATGCCTGTAATCCTGACACTTTGGGAGGCCCAGGTGGGCGGACTGCCTGAGCTCAGGAGTTCGAGACCAGCCTGGGCAACACGGTGAAACCCCGTTCTCTACCCAAAATACAAAAGGTTAGCAGGGCATGGTGGTGCACGCCTGTAGTCCCAGCTACTGGGGTGGCTGAGTCAGGAGAACTGCTTGAACCCGGGAGGTGGAGGTTGCAGTGAGACGAGATCATGCCACTGCACTCCAGCCTGGTTCACAGAGTGAGACTCTGTCTCCACAAAAAAAAAAAAAAGAAAAGAAAAGAAATGCAAATTCTCGCTACTTGGGAGGCTGAGGCAGGAGAATCGCTTGAACCGGGGAGGCAGAGGTTGCAGTGAGCCGAGATCGGGCCATTACACTCCAGCCTGGGTGACAAGAGCGAGACTCCATCTCAAAACAAACAAAGAAATGCAAATTCTCAGGTCCATCCCAGAACCTACTGAACGAACTCTGGGGATGGGGCCCAACTATGTATGTTTGAACACGCCCTCCAGGTGACAGTGAGACTCGCTAGAGTTTGAGAAGCACTGAGCTAGTGCAAGGATGTAGGAAAATTGAAACCTACTTGTGGGTCTAGAACCCTTGTCTCCCGGTGGAGAGCCTAACGTTTGGAGGCCGCCCCTGCCAACCCTCTTCTCCCGCCCCTCGGTCTCCCTCCCAGGCTCCATGCTGCCGCTTCTGCTAGGCCTGCTGGGCCCAGCGGCCTGCTGGGCCCTGGGCCCGGCCCCCGGCCCAGGCTCCTCAGAGCTGCGCTCGGCCTTCTCGGCGGCACGCACCACTCCCCTGGAGGGCGCGTCGGAGATGGCGGTGACCTTCGACAAGGTGTACGTGAACATCGGGGGCGACTTCGACGCGGCCACGGGCCAATTCCGCTGCCGCGTGCCCGGCGCCTACTTCTTCTCCTTCACGGCTGGCAAGGCCCCACACAAGAGCCTGTCGGTGATGCTGGTGCGGAACCACGACGAGGTGCAGGCGCTGGCCTTCGACGAGCAGAGGCGGCCCAGCGCACGGCGCGCCGCCAGCCAGAGCGCCATGCTGCAGCTCGACTACGGCGACACAGTTTGGCTGCGGCTGCATGGCGCCCCGCAGTACGCGCTGGGCGCGCCCGGCGCCACCTTCAGCGGCTACCTGGTCTACGCCGACGCCGACGCCGACGCGCCTGCGCGCGGGCCGCCCGCGCCCCCCGAGCCGCGCTCGGCATTCTCGGCGGCGCGCACGCGCAGCCTGGTGGGCTCGGACGCGGGGTCCGGGCCACGGCACCGGCCGCTAGCCTTCGACACCGAGCTGGTCAACATTGGCGGCGACTTCGACGCGGCGGCCGGCGTGTTCCGCTGCCGCCTGCCCGGCGCCTACTTCTTCTCCTTCACGCTGGGCAAGCTGCCGCGTAAGACGCTGTCGGTGAAGCTGATGAAGAACCGCGACGAGGTGCAGGCCATGATTTACGACGACGGCGCGTCGCGGCGCCGCGAGATGCAGAGCCAGAGCGTGATGCTGGCCCTGCGGCGCGGCGACGCCGTCTGGCTGCTCAGCCACGACCACGACGGCTACGGCGCCTACAGCAACCACGGCAAGTACATCACCTTCTCTGGCTTCTTGGTGTACCCCGACCTCGCCCCCGCCGCCCCGCCAGGCCTCGGGGCCCCGGAACTGCTGTGAGCCCCGGGCCAGAGAGGAGCCCGGGAGGGCCAGGGGCGTGCATGCTGGGCCGGGCCCGCGGCCCGAACGCCTCGCGCGAGCGCCACGGCCGCCGGGCGCGCCTGGACTCTGCCAATAAAGCGGAAAGGGGGCCTGCGCAGCGCCCGGCAACCCAGGCCCCTGCTCTGTCTTGACTGCGACGCATTCGCTGGGGGCAGGCGGGATAGGCACTGACTACTGCGGACCCGCAGGCCCGAGGAAGGGGTTGGAGGTTGGAGAGCAGGGTCCCCTCAGACCCTGGGAGGGTGAGGAGGTGGGAATTTGGTGGAACCACATTCGCCTAGTCCGTTGGGGGCCTCCCTTTCATATCCCTACCTTGTCCAGCCCTCTGACTCATCATTGACCTACGACCTCAGTCTTAGCTCCCCGCTGATGCCTTTCTGTGACAAGGAACAGCACCCCATTACCCCACTGGGGGCATGAGATTCAAGGAGAGTGCATTCCTTCTTCCAGCAGGGTATGGGAATGGGATGAGTTGATACCTGGTTGCCCTGACTCTTGCCTTCCCAGGATGGGGAGAGTGATTTGCCCAGAGCAGGAGTTAGACCGCTTATTCCGACATAGAATGACACAGGCTCCGGGAGGCCGAAACAGAACTTTTATGAGAAGAGCAACACAGAATCAGGCCCACACCTGGCCCAGCCCACCTCCGGTTGTCTCTGCTTGGCCTGCCAGCCTTACTCCCCCATCTGAGGTGTTGAGATATTGCCTCCCTACCCCTAAAGAGAAAATGTTCCTCCCTCCCCCTGTTTCCCTCCAGTCCTCCAACAGACAGAACTCAAAAAGTCTATTCTCCCAACCCAGATGGGAACTTGGAGGCTCAGGGACCCCAGATCCTTGGTTGTGCCTAAAAGGGGGTGCTCTGCACCTAGAGGATTCCTGTGAATTCCACAGGACCTATCACAGAGCGCCAGGGTAGGAGTTGGAAGGTCTGACCTGGCCTTACTTGGGGCAGCTTCCCTTTCAGCATCTCTTGAACACACTTCTCAACCCTGACGCCAGATCTCAGCACACACACACACTGCCTGCAAGTCGTGCCCTTAGCTCTGTGGCCACTCCTTGTGACCCACAGCCTGGGTTCTTAGCCTCTCAAGATCCAGGAAACAAGATCGATTGGGTCGGGGTAAGCAGAGAGGGGGTGTCCAGGGTGCAAGCCAAGCCCAGAGATCTGAACACAGTGGAAAAAACCAGATGCCAGACAGAAGCCCCTGCCCAAGATGGGTCTGCCTGGGGAGTTGAGGAGATGGGAGGGGGTAATGGCAGGTGAAAGAGCAAAAGGGGAGGGTCAGGGGAAGGGGTCAAGGATGGAGGCCCAGGACCCCAGGGAAGGGGGCTGATCCTGGGGGCAGAAACCCTTGCATAGGTCCCAGAGTGTTTCCTGTGCCAGGAGAGTGAAGACCTGCGCCCAGCGGCCCCGTTCCTCAGCCTCACTAGCTGCGTGGAGCCGGTAGACGCAGGACAGGCCTGTGAGGAGCAGATGTTCAAAGTCCCAAGTGCTAAGAGGAGGCCCCTTCCGCAGGTCCTGGAGCTGCTGCAGCCGCTGCTCAGCGCCCTCCAAGTCACTGGGCACGTGGTGCTGCAGGAGGAGCCTGAGTCGGCGGCCTGGGTGTGTGGACGCTAGTTCCTCATCCTGGATGTGCAGCTGCCCCATGACATCCAGCTTCAGCCCAGCCCAGAGCAGCTGCAAGGGGAGGCATGTAAGGGCTTGGGGAGCAGGGCGGGGAGCAAGAGTGGGCTGGGGGAGGGGGCAGAAGCAGGCAGCAGGACCCATGCTGGCTTGCCCCCGCCAACCCCTAGCAGGTCCACCCTGAGACATCCCCATTCCCAACCCTGAGCTTAGGGGCCTCTGGACATGCCCACCCTCATGTCCCAGGCTGGGAGGAAAGACCTCAAACATCACTTCCGGGGCCTCTGGCTTCTGCAGGCCACCTCCCACGCTGGTGCTGTCCATGGGCTGCCCTGGGGCAGCAGAGAGGAGTCAGGCCCCTGCCATGCTACACCATGAACACCCCAGCCTCCCAGAAGTGTCCCTCTGCTGCGTGGTAGAGGTCCCAAGTGCTTCATCATTCTACAAAAGGGCAGGAATGCCATCCCATGCCCCTGTTTCCCCTCCCTCTCATGCACACACATGCACATTGACATTCACTCTCCCAGGCATAGGTCTTCTGATCTCAAAAGCATCATTCCAAGCATAGTTACCATGTTGGCAAATGCCCAGGACTCCTCCTCTAAATTGCACAATGCCCTTGGTAAAGAGCTCCAGGCCAACGGGTCACAAGACCCTTCCCCACCCTCCTCCTCTCCCTATAATCATCGGAGGACAGAGTCACCTAAAACAGTGCCAGTGACTCTCCCAAGGACAAGGACCTCTTTGGGAAGAGCCTACTCTCCCTGCTCCTTCTCAGCAGTAAGGGAGGGAGAAGGAGGACAGGGCAGGGAGGATAGGGCAGGGGAGGATGTGAGGCAGGGACCACAGGGCAGGGGAGGATGTCTGTGGCAGCTCCCTCCGGCCCACACCTTGGGGTGTTGCCTCACCCTTGTAATGTTTGTTCCAAACCCAGACAGGTCAAGAGACCCTGCTTTGGGCATCTGTGGGAATGAGCCCAGGGCCAGCATTAAGAGCACCTAGGGCTATCTCCCTAGTTGTCACCTGTATCTTTCCAGTTCTGGGGAGGGCGGCCCACGTTGTCACCCAGCACACATCAGCCTGGTACCCACCATGCCCACACTTCTATGCCCGACTAGCCTCAAATAGAGCCAGCTGTTAACTGCTGTCAGCCAGCAGCCTTCCTTGGCTCCTCTCCACCCACCCTGAAGCCCCGGTACCTGCATGGTGCTGGGTTGTAGTCACACCAGAGAGGAGGCAGATGGCTACCACCAGGCAAGCCAGGAACTGCAGGGTCGCAGCCATGCTCCACCACGTCCTCTGAGTTTCACTCTGTTCAGCAGTTCTCTGCTCCCTCATCTGCCTGCCACACACCTCGGCTCCAACTTTCCACTGCAGGCTGCTCCAGAGCTCTGTAATGCGTGTCATTCTTCAATGCTGAACAGGGAGGGGCTGGCTGTGGCCTCGGTCACCTCCCATGGGCTCTTTCCATCCTTTAGAAATGGGGAATCTTTGGTTGTTGGCAGGAGCCTGGCTCCCTGCTTGTCAGGCCCTCAGCCTGTTCCTGCCCAGCTGGGCGGTATGCTTAGTTAATAGGAAAAAGGTGTTTGGTAGCAAATAGCTCTAGCTTGGCCCTCCCAAAGGGTAGGAAAGAGCCCAGGCGGTAAGACCATCTTACCGTCTGCACCCTCAAAATATCCTGCAACTGAGACCAGCCCCGACACCCAGTCTGGCCCAGCCCAGCCTCCATGGAGCCCTTCAGCTGCCAAAAGCATCAGCTGCAAAGTCTTCCAACTGCATGGCGGGCTGGCTGGGCGGCCCTGCATACAGGCAGAGCCAAGCACTCCCGTCTCAGGCACTCCGCCGCAGGCTGAACAGACCCCTAGACCAGCTGGACTAGGGAGTACTGTCTCCTGGCAGACAGACAAATCTGCAGCTCCTCAGTGGTTTTTGCCCCAGCCCTGGGACCTCTTATTTCCTAACAACATTCTTAATTCAGGGTGGGCATGGTGGCTCATGCCTGTAATCCCAGCACTTGAGGAGGGCAAGACAGGATGGCTTGAGCCCAGGAATTCAAGACCAGCCTGGGCAACATGGTGAGACCTCATCTCTACAAATAAAAAAATTAGCTGGGCATAGTGGTACACACCTGTGGTCCCAGCTACTCAGGAGGCTGAGGTGGGAGGATCAGCTGAGCCCAGGCAGTCTAGACTGCAGCGAACCATGACCACACTGCTGTACTCACCCTAGCTTGGGTGACAGACCAAGACCATGTCTCAAAAAACCCCCACCAGCCCGGCGCAGTGGCTCACACCTGTAATCCCAGCACTTTGGGAGGCCGAGGCGGGGAGATCACGCGAGGTCGGGAGTTCGAGACCAGCCTGACCAACATGGAGAAACCCCATCTCTACTAAAAACACAAAACTGGCCGGGTGTGGTGGCACAAGCCTGTAATCCCAGCTACTCAGGAGGCTGAGGCAGGGAATTGCTTGAACCCGGGAGGCAGAGGTTGCAGTGAGCCAAGATCATGCCATTGCACTCCAGCCTGAGCAACAATAGCAAAACTCTGCCTCAAAAAAACAAAAAACAAAAAAAACACCATTCTCAGCTCAGGCCAGAAACCAGGAAGGTTTCTATAGCCCAAGAGTGATAGGCTGCCATGCCACACCCATCCTGAATCCCTGTGGACCGTGAGAACTTTTAATTACAGCTCTAGAATTCCTCTCAGAAATACATCCATGCCTGCAGGCCACTAGGTCTGCAACTACACTCTTTAGTCCCATTAAAATAGACCCCTAGCTGAGTGTGGTGGCTCACACCTATAATCCCAGCACTTTGGGAGGCCAGTGTGGGTGGGATCATTTGAGGACAGTAGTTCAAGACCAGCCCAGGCAACATGGTGAAACCCCATCTCTACAAAAACTAGCTGAGCATGGTGACGCACATCTGTAATCCCAGCTTCTCGGGAGGCTGAGGTGGGAGAACTGCTTGAGCCCAGGAGGCAGAGGTTGCAGTGAGCCGAGATCGCGCCATTGCACTCCAGCCTGGGCAACAAGAGCAAGACACTGTCTCAGAAAATAAAAAACAAAAAAACCCGTAAGACTCCCTGGTTTAGTAGTGTCTCTCTAAGGGAGCAGGGAAACACCCCTGTCTGCCTGTGTCCCCCGTCAAACATCATTTCTCCCCATTACAAGCACACACGAATTGGTGAGTCTAAGTAGGAATTTATTTACACCGACACTCAATCTTAGATAAGGCGCTGTCTAGGATCCACATGCCTTCCCTGGAGCTACTTGGCTTCAGGCTTCTTATCTCCGGCTTCAAGCTTGAGACTCTCCGGGGGTTGGCGATAGACTGGGAAAGCCTCCCAGGGGCTGTTCAGGTCAAATTTGCGGAACTCTTGGGCCAACTCCACCGGCTCTGCCACCACCCGCTTTACCTCATCGTCATAGCGTACCTGTAGGAGCAAAAGGCAGGCTTGAGCACTAAGGAAGTCCCTATTACAGCTAC